GGACCCCATCAAAAATTAGTTGCCGACTCCTGATCTAAGCAATACCCCAGAGAGCTGATGAATTTTGGGTGGTTATAGCTTTAGCACGGTATTGGGGCTCTAACGTGCCTGACACCATTTCATGTCAACTCGTGTGAATAATGTGAACACGAAAAAAAAAGAGATAAGTCCAAAGGAGGACTCAGAAATTAGTGACTGACTCATTGGTATCCCCAAACCTATTTTAAAATATGTCTGGACCCCATCAAAAATTAGTTGCCGACTCCTGATCTAAGCAATACCCCAGAGATCTGATGAATTTTGGGTGGTTATAGCTTTAGCACGGTATTGGGGCTCTGACGTGCCTGACACCATTTCATGTCAACTCGTGTGAATAATGTGAACACGAAAAAAAAAAGAGATAAGTCCAAAGGAGGACTCAGAAATTAGTGACTGACTCAGAAATTCACAAATAAGAAATAAAGGTAACGAACAGAGAAGTCGACTCTCTGTCCCAAATGGGTCTCAATGACCCCAATCAGGTTCCTGCTGACGAACCTTCACACAGTACGTCATGATCCGTAAAACAGGTTTGATGTCGTCTTGATAAAAGAGCCTTAGATATATTAGTGAAGTAGAAAATATTAAGGACATAACACGTCACAAACAAAGAATTTCTGAAAAGGATGAATCCTCCTCCTCCTAAGTGCCTTCTCTATTGAGGTTGGCGATCAATATGGCAAATTTCTCTCTGTTCTGGGCTTGATGGATTAAGTCATTTCCTGTTGTGTGAGTCCAATCTCTGATGTTTCGGAGGCAGGATTTCTTCTTTCTTCCTATACTCCTTTTACCCTCGATTTTGTCTTCTAATATTACCTGGAGCTGCTCAAATTCCTTATGGCGCATTATGTATCCTAGATATGACGTCTTTCTAATTTTGATTGTATTAACCAGATGAGGTCGTGTGTTCATTATTTCCAGTACCTCTTCATTTGTAGTTTTGCTGGTCCAGCTTATTCTTAGCATTCGGCGGTACATCCACATTTCGAATGAATTCAGTTTGTTGACGTCATACTGTTTTAATGTCCAGGTCTCACAGCCATATAGTAGTAGAGACCACACATAACACTTTAATGTTCTTAACCTTATTGTTATTGATAGCTTGGGGTTACAGAGCATTTTACGCATGTTCATGAAGCAAGATCTTGCTATTTCAATACGTCTTCTAATTTCTTTTGAGTGGTCTAGCTGACTGTTTAGCCTCTGCCCAGGTATATGAAGCTTTGGGAGCTCTGAAGGGTGATACCATTGATTTGTATGTTGGGTGTAATTTATTCATGGGGGTTCTTGTGTAATACCATGATTTTGGTTTTGGAAAGATTAATATCCAAACCTAGTCTGTGACTTTCTTCTGATAGTATGTTCATCAATATTTTTAGTTGGTCTTCTGTTTCTGCTAATACTACGGTGTCATCGGCATATCTTACATTGTTAATGATGATTCCATTGACTCTGGCACCTTCAGGGCGATCTTCAAGAGAAGCTCTGATGATATTTTCGGCATAGACATTAAATAGAAGAGGGGACAGAATGCACCCTTGACGCACTCCTCGTTCTATGTTTACATAATCGGTATTTCCGTTGTATGTTCGAACACATCCTGTGTGGTTCCAGTATGTATTGCTTATTATAGCTATGTCGTGTCCGTCCAGCCCTATTTCTTTTAGCACCTCAATCAATTTTTCGTGTCTAATGCGGTCGAAGGCCTTTCTATAATCGACAAAGCACACATACAGCTGTTTTTGAACCTCGAGATACCTTTCTGCCATTAGTGTCAATCCCATTATTGCTTCTCTGGTGCGTATACCTTTCCTAAAACCATATTGAGAACGACTCAGGTATTCTTCACACTTATTGTGAATGCGGTTATAAATTACTCGCATAAAAATCTTAGCAGCATGACTCATTAGGGATATAGTTCGATGGTCTTCACATTTCCTTGCTTTTTGTTTTTTAGGAAGAGCTACATATGTGGATGTTAGCCAGTCATGCGGTAGAGTGCCATGTTCATATATAATGTTAAAGAGGTAGGTTAATTTCCCGACAGCATCATCACTCAGGTGTTTAAAATGTTCGGCTGTTGTTAGATCTTCGGCGGGTGCCTTGTTGTTCTTTGCGTCTTTTATTACCCGCATAACTTCTTCGGTTAGAATACTTAGTTTTCCATCGGTATCTATTTGTGGGGGCCCTTCTACTCTCCGATCACCAAACAAATCTTTTTGAAGGATGAATAAAGAAATAGAAATTTTTAATACAATCAAAACAAGAAAATTGCAATATCTCGGACATATTACACGAATAGACATGATGATTTCCGACATCCGTTGGGGAGGTGGCACTTTAAGAAGAAGCAGATAACAAAAATAGGAATAAATTTTTTGCATTTCCTCCGTTTATAAAAAATATTGTTATTGCTCCATTTTCAAATATTCTGTTTATGTATCTTTTAATAACACTCTTTTTACCCACGCAATATACTCATATTATTACAGCCATCAGTTGGTTTGTACACTATTGAATATACGAGGATAAGATAATTATTTCGACGTAAACCATTGTCATTCAACAACTGATAATGAACAGTAAGTTTTAAGTTAAACTTTGAACTAATAGCGATGCTAATAATATATTCCAAATAATTACAATATAATTGCTGCGTGTATACATTTTTTGTTTTGTTTAGTTATTCAGTAACATAATATTACTTTTTGCGAATTACGTAGTCTACCATATAAACTTTGATGGCAAATTAACAATTGACCTTTAAATTTGTTAGCATAAATCAACAGTTAACCTGTATAGGACTTACATTTTTCACTTTATAGGACTTTTATTTTAAGGAACAAAATAAAAGAGGCTAACGAAAAGTGGATGATGGAAACATGCATCGAAGTGGAAGAATTGCAGAAAAAGCATGATCATTATAATTTAATTTTAACTGTTAGAGGTCATTGGTATCCAAATTGTCTATTTGGTAGATTACAGCATCAACTTGCTTTTCTATAGCTTGTGTTACTCTTAATAGATTATTTTCAACGACATCCACTTTGTTTGTTAATTTAGTACGGATTTACTTTAAATTTACTTATTTTAGAAGGTAAATTTAGAGCGGCTGTTTCTGGTTGTATTTACTTTATTGATGCATGGATACAAAAGATTATACAACTATAATTTACATAAAAACGTGAAAGAATTATCTGGAAAATCAGGAACAAATACACTTAACTGATTAATTGACAAAAACAATAAACCTATTAATACCCCAATTGAAATACAAGTATGGACTAAATATATTGAAGATCCTTTAATCTACACAAGAACGGAACTAACACAAATTGATAACGAGGGAGCTCCAGTAATATTAAAATTTGAAGTATAATATGCTATAAACAACTCAAACACCACCAGAGAAAAAACCCAGTACATTCTGCTCGATTACATATACAGGCAAAATAACAACAAAAATTGCCAAACACATAAAAAAGAAAGGAATAACACCAGCTTTCCGAACAAATAACAACCTAGGCAAATATATTAAAAATAACAAGAGCCAAAATAAAAAACACTTAAATAGTGGTGTGTACAAACTTCAATGTGGCGACTGCCCAAAAAATTACATCGGTCAAACTGGTAGAAACTTTGATAAACGAATAGCAGAACATAAAAGGGCTTTCAAGAATAGAAAAACAGATTCGACATACGCACTTCACCTTCTAGATCATAATCATTCTTTTAATGACAAATTTAAAATTCTTCACATTCAAAATAAAGGCCTTAAGCTATCTTTGTTAGAATCTATGGAAATCAACAAATTAAAAAACACAGATATAATTCTGAATGACCAACTTGAGACAAACAGTTCTCCCCTCCTCAACCTATTTCATTAGAGACTATAAATTTGTAAACCCAAGCCAAAAATAGATCACTTGAGAAAGGCAATCAGCCGAAACAGCTGTAGTGATGTCAGTGTTTTATTGTTACATAAAATGAATTTCCATCAAGTAACGGTCGAATCCATCAATTAAAAATGAAGATATTGAGCAAGTGGACAAAATGAAATACAAAATGAAATAGTCTGGATTACGGAAGATCTGAATCCGAAATCAGAAATTCGCTCAAGAATAGAGCAATCAAGAGCAGCCATTTTGAAGAGGAGGAAACTTCTGAGTACGAGTAATGATGAGTAAATGATAAGTACGAGTAGTTACAGCTGATTATGAAGAGTAAAATCGAAGGAAAAAGGTCCTGGTAGACGACAAATATCCTGGCTGAAAAACATTCGCGACTGGTCTGGGTTAAACACACAGACGCGCTTAAGAAAAGCAGAAGATAGAGATGAATTTGCAATGGCTATAGCCAACCTTCATTAGTGGAGACGGCACTAGAAGAAGAGGATATTTTTCACCGTAGTAACTTTATTTTGATTTCACTTCTTTATGTATGATTGATTAGCTCGAAAAACTATGGTTTATCTATGACTCTCAGCAAAAAAATAATACTTTTTGACAAAATGTTATATAAATGTTTACTACATTGGTCCTATTGCATGGAGATCCAGGTACAACCATGAACTCTACAAAATGTTCAAAGACACCGATCTGAAAATTCAAATTATTAATAATCTCAAAAAAGCTTAAATTTGGGGTAAAGGATGAAGTGACAGTGACGCCCAAAATTTGCTAGACGTGAGAAGGCGTAGAACCAGCAAGGTCTGGAGAGAAAGAGCGAGAGTGCACTGCATAACCTAACTTTTCACGTAGTACTTAGTAAGACTTAATTTTTCTTACATTTTTACACCATGTCTAAAGCTTCCTTAAAAATGCAATAGTAACAAACATAAGCTCGTTTCAAAAGTCTAAACCGGTATAAAACATTAAAAATTTTATAATATAAAATATATGATAATACCAAAAAAATACTTAGTTTTTAAAAATACATATATAATAAAAAATCGTACTCACAGTTGCATATACTGACTCATATACTGGAAATAAGCCTGTTGCATCCACGCCAACTGCATAGCATACTGGTTTGGATCAATTTGCCCGCTGTTCATGTTAAAATATGGCATATTTTGAGGAAAACCAGTTGTGTTTTGTTCTCCGGAGGCGTTTTCGTTTGTGGCTGGACTCGATGTTGTCGAATTATTTGTATTTTGGGTATTATTTGGTGTACTAGTCTGAGATACTGGTTTGGTTTCAGGAACATTTTGCATATATTTGGAGGAACAAACCAAATGTACAGTGTGTGCTTCCTGTCCTTCATACTGTCGTAATATTTCTTTTAACGTTACGGTATCGTTTAGTAACTGCCCTGAATATATTAGTTTCTGTTCATGTTTAGGCTGTAAAAAAATTATTTTATTAAAATGTAAACACAACAAAATTAACTGGTGATCAATTAATACATATATATATATATATATATATATATATATATATATTTATATATATATATATATATATATATATATATATATACTATAGTTTGGCATAATATTTAAACTTATACAGCTAAAAATCATTAACAGGTTTTTACAAAGTTAACAATTAAATTGAATGAAATACACAAATTCGCAAAACAGGGACAAACCCCATTGTATATTGCCTACACCTGAACCACCTATTTCCTAGCTACTTGGAGGAATTAAATATACACAAAAAAACACAACAGAAACCAAGAGAAGAGGGAGTCAGGGACCACTAACTCAGACTCTTCGACAATACAGAGGGGATAACCGGTAACCACTGACTCAGACTCCTTAGCTTCAACACTCAGGGAGATGAAACCCATTGGTCCTGACTGTAAACAAAAAGCAGAGGGAAGCCAGACAACTGCAATCTTGTCTGAGGGGATTAGCAAAATCGAACTTAGGACAAAAAGGCTTTCAGGGACTCACGAGGAGGAAGCTGACCAAGGAGAGAAAATGTGAGAAGGGATTTGGAAGGGTGAAAAGAAGATCAATACTACTGAGAAGAAAGATATGCTTAAGAAACAAGAGGAGAGCAGAAGCATTATGGACAAAAGATCCAACTGTGAGTCACAGACTCCCTAAAAGTGACAAGAACAAAGCCACAGAATATCCCTTAAAAAATATCTTAATTGCGCTGTGGTAAAGAAGATTTACATACAAAGAACCCGTGTCTTCACAAATTTTTTGAAAATGCGACTTTGTAACGCTTTTTCTTTGATGGAGTTTACAACTTTATTGACACTTGAAAAAACCCAATCCATTTCGGAAGATAAAGATTTTGACACAAGAGTTTCTGAATGTAAAAATACACATGCAAGGCAAGATACATCATGAGATGACAGACCCATTTCAAATAACACAAGGATAAAAACATGGTGATGGGCTGGCACCAACAGTGTTTAATTTAACACTGGAATATGTACTTAGGTAGAAAAACATTAGAAGGTGGAAACAACACACTTATCAATAAATCAGACCAACTGGCAGTATATGCATATGACATAAATATCTGACCAGAACCAAAGCAACAATCAAGAATACATATATGGAACTTAAATCACATACTAAACAAATAGATCTGTCATACTTCGTCTGGCATGAAAAAGACTAAAATCCTAGTACAAAGCCAATTATAGAGAGCAACATGAACCTACCTGACAGTTGACAACTAAGAAAACAGTAGGCAGCTTTATCTATTTAGGAGTGAAGATCACAAAGGAGATGAAGGGCTTGGCAGAACAATATTATCCTAGCCATTACAGCATACTTTGCTCAGAAACAGATATTTAAACACCAAGATATACATCAAAGAAACAAGATACAAATCTATAAGACCATAATCTGACTGATAGTGAACTATGGATGTGTAACTTGGTTATTAATTTAAAAATCTGTAAACTGCATGGATACCTTTGAAAGAAAGGTACTGAGATGAATACTAAGACCTATAAATGAGAACAACAGGTGGTGAATCACCATCTTAAATGTATATGCCATTTATCTAGGATTGAAGAAAACAGGCTTCCAAAAAAACTGTTGAATGCAAGACAGATGAAAGACCGAGAAGGCATTGGGAGAATAATTTGGATGAGGACGCAAGAAATCTCTTTCGCAGTAGATAGTGGAGGACAAGGTTGTTTCTACAGACAGTAACAAATGGAGAGGTTTACTGAGGGAGGTCTGTGTACGAATTGGGATGTAGAACTATGGACAGACACAAACAAAAATTAAAATTGAAAAAGTGGTTAGTGAATACAATATGATTTGGTTTTTTCACAAACCAAATGTGAGATTTCATGTTCATAAAAGGTTTTCAGAAGAGGAAAAGTTTTAATACAAATAAAAAATATTATTAATAAATAACATTGTATTGAAATTAGTTATTCGAGTATAATATGATAATCTTATATGAAATACTTATGTCTACTATCTTATCTCAAAGCCTTTCTAAATAAATAATAATCTTAATATTTTTTCCTCATTTATGTAAATAAGCTATTTTGCAAAATGAGACACAAATCAACATATTTATATCAAAATTTTGATGCTAAATGTTTTAATGCATTTTATTTTTAATTCCACAATAATTTAATATCGTAATGATTGGTTCTAGAAAAGGCGAGCATGAAGAATCTTTTAAAATTAAAACATTATATATGTATATATATATATATATATATATATATATATATATATATATATAAACAAGTAATTCATAGCATTGTGTTTAAAACCTTATTATTAAGATTTAATGCAGAGTGAAATATTATATTATTGCTGTAGTCACTGAATAGTTTACATTTACACCATCATTTTTACATTGTAATACTGTAAAATCGCAGTGTCATACAGATTTGTCAAAGTGCTTGCCAAATATTTCACATGTATTGAAAAATTAAATAAGAAGCTATTAAACTAGTCCAAAATGCCTAGAATGTATTTTAATGACGCACAAACACAAGAGCAATTGTCAAAGTTGAAGAAGGTTGATCACTAAAGCAACTGCTACAGATTTGAACTTGAGCCATATGTGCATATGGAAAATCAAACAAGGATAAGATCATTTTCATTCTAGCACAGTTGAGTGGTTCAAGAGAAACTTCCTTTTACCACAGCTCAAAAAGCTAGTGAAGGGACAGAGTTTCTAGGCAGAATTCACACTGCAGATACAAGGATTAAAGCAAATCAATAATTGATAAATTGTGTATCAGCATGGAAACCTTTTTTGACTGAGGATCACAAGAGGAGGCAAGTTTCATTTTGTAATGAATTCATAAACCATTAAGACAACTTTTGGTATAGCATTGTATTTTCTGATGAAAAAGTGTTTAAATCATATAGCAATAATCAAATATGAGTTTATAGGCATAAAAATCATAGGTTTAATGAATGGTATACTACATTTAAGAAATAGTGGGGGATTCTCTGTCAACATATAGGTATGGATAAGTGCTAACGGTTTGGGTGTTTGTTTTCATATAGAAGAAAAATTAACAGGATTACATTACAAATATATTATTGGGAACATAATTTTAGCGTCCAGTTCCAACATAACAATTGGCCAGTGCATATGAGTAGAATTGTTGGAGAATTTTTGGAATAAACTTATGTTAATGTTCTTCCATTCTTCCGTTAAGATGCTTTGAACGTAAAATCCTCCAGCATATCTATGGAGGAGCCTGTACGACAAACCTGATATTATTAGGACAAGCTAATGTAGGTTAAAGTGTGACAGTTCTTCTTCTAGTCAAATTTACCTCTAAAATCTAATAGACAACAAAAAAACTTATTATTGTCTCCAAGTCAGAGATGTAGTACATTTAAGTCCCCCTTTTTTTAAATTTAAAGTCTGTTTTGTCCTTTTTAAGTGTGTTCGGTTTGTCCCTAAGTGTCCTTAATTGTTTTAGTTTTAATACTTTTACATACTGGACTTTACAATCACTTACCATATAACAATAAGTTGATTGAACTTTATCAAACAAATTTGATAATTACAAGTTAAAGAAATTTGCACACCCACACAATTGTACATATAATTTCATTCATTGTCATACAACTGTCACCTTAATAAAATTTCAATAAATAACACACATTTCATAAATATATCTCTTGAATAAATATAAATAACTTTTAAAGAATTAAATAATACAGAACATCACTTTCATTTAACAAACAATCACATTACACCTATTTTCTACTTCATTGGATAAAATATATCTCCTCAAGAAACTTCCCCTTTATTGTCAAACAATTACAATAGTAAAAACTGAAGTTCTCCATTCAGCAATACAGGATAGTTTGAACTATGTTCTTCCAACAATTAATTAATAGTGTACTAGCATTTAAGTAATGTTTTGTTTATTTCTTCTTCAAGTGCCATCTTTGTTCTGAACGTTGGCAATCATCAGGGCTATACGTATTTTCGAAACTGCTGACCAAAACAATTTGTTGTTGCTACAGCTATACCATTCCCGTAGATTCTTTAGCCAGAAGTTTCGTCTTCTTCATATTGTGAGCTATTTTGAGAAATGTACTTTTGAGGATGATACCAATGATCTTTGACTATTATAATCAATTTATGTCAGTTTTCTAGAGGTTTGTAATTTCTGATTGTTGGATTCACTCAATTATCAATAGGTTCTCCTATGCATGACAGAAAATCTATATCTTTAATAAATTTCACTCAGTAGATTGTTATAGCTCAAGTACAATTTGTTAATCAGTTAGAAGAGGCTAAACAAGTGGGGATAAGTCAAATGGCAATCACTAAAAAAATTTAAGAATTGAACCAAGAATATTAATTTGTTGACTTTCATTTGCATCAACAGACCTTTTGTTGCCTGTTATAAAAACTGAAATAAATATGCATTTAGATAAGGCCACAGAATAGAATATGAGGTCATAATTGAAAGTAAGAAAGGAGAACAAAGACTGTCTTAGATTCAAATATATCTTAAGTTTTAAATATGACAAATTTATACTAACCTAACCCTCTTATCTATGAATTTATATTATGTAAGGATAGCAAAAGTGCAGCAGACAATCTCAAAAATGCAGAAGTAAGCTTCAGTGTGCAAAATTTTGCACACTGAAGCACAAATTCTAAAAGTACATAACTTAATGAGATTCACAATAAAAAAGTCATCATATATTAATGGATGAAAGGACACATGAGTATGAATGTAATGGAATAGTGGATATACTAACAAAGCGCCCTCAACAAGAGAGGAACTACATCTTAAACTACCTCCTTCTGACCTGTTCTTAAAACAAAACAAAATTTACTTACATACTTATTTAGTTAAATTATGTAAAAAATACAATTTGGAGTGAGAGACCAAAAAAGATATGAAAAAATTAATGTTTTAACAAGAAAGGTTTGGAGAATACTTAAAGACGCTAAAACCACATCAGGAAAAGACTAAAGACAGTTTTTTTTCATAACATAAAAGTTTATAGTAACTAAAAACCTACTTACATTTTCAAGTAATTTATTTACTGAGTGATACTAATTATTCTTGTTATTCTTCTTTCACAAAATTTGTTTTTTTTATAACAACTAAGTTTTTTATTCCTGTTTTGACATAGGTACTTAATGTTTTTTATCTCCTTTTCATTTTCAAGCATGAGGCAAATATATCTGAACAGAAAACCATGTAAGCAATGTGGTAACATTGTTTATTTTTCAGTTGTGAGCAACTATAATTTCTAGGTAAATACAATTTAACTATTTACATGATATATACTTAAATATAAACATTATGCAACTGTTGAGTCAGTTATTTGCATAAAAATACCTATGTGCATAGTGAGTATGTGAACCTCCTGATAAAAAGTTGATTGAATTATGTTATCTTTTTTGTGGACAATTGTCTTTTGAATTATATAGTTCCTTAACTTGACAGAAAAATTGTTAATTTCTAAAGCACTTCTTTAAAACAAAAAAAATGTTATCCTTAAATGTCCCATTATGCTGGTACCTATAATGTTATGTTCATTGTCCTAAATGCCTAAACAAATCATTCTCTTTTATTGTATTTTAGAATTTCTGTAGTTATAGTATTTGTGTTTATTGCCACTTATTCTAGAGGTAAAAATCCATTTTAGTAGGGATCACTTTAAATGCTTAATTTATTTGGGACCTAAAAGATGAAATAAAAAGCCGAATTTTGAGAGTTTTATTGGGAAAAGTTTTAAAATTACCATAAAAAGTAATAGAATCAGAAAAGGAATTATGTTGTTATCTAGGAAAAAGCTTTTTGAAAGAGTTTCTACAGATTTCATCATTCATCTTAGAATTAAGCCAAAACATTTGCTCACTTGTTAAAAACAATGCTATATTAAAAAACAGGGGTAAAGTACAACCTAATTATATTAATCATAGTCAGGTGATTTCATAACATCTTAATGAAATATTGTATATTTAAAGAATATGTAGATAATGAACTTACAAGGATAAATTTTGATGACAGTCAGTGAGTCTAAATATTTATGCCAATTTAAATTTACCAGAGATCAAAGTCTCTAGGCTATACTAATATAATTACGTTTTGATTAAAGACTTCAATGAAAAATAAAATGGAAATATTCCCATTTTGTATCATTTTTAATTAATAACATTTTGTCTACAGTTACAATTATTTACTTACGGGTTTACTGGGGTACACTTCCGATAGATGTTGCTTTAACTTGTGAATTGTCCATGAAGGTTCGCACTGTATTGTCTGATCTTCAATTTGTTGATTTGGAGCTTTAACTATTAATGTAACAAACGATTCCATTTTTTCTTGGTTTAGTTATTTAACTCCCACTATATAGTCACAACACTTACAGTTAATTTTTTACTGCTTCTAGCTTTTTCTACGTTAATCCACTGAATATATTATATTACATTATCAATAATTTCTATCAATGTTCCTATCAACAATCACCCATATTTATTTTTGTGGCTTGTCTGTCGTTTTGCTATTGGTCAAAATGGAACAGTCAAGAAATGACGTAATGTCAATTAGTCAGTGTCGGAGAGAAAATATTATTACCGATCATGAAATGAAAATTTCTTAGCATTTTTCTTTTCTCTTTGGTTGAACAATTACTTACTTAAAGCAATTTTAATAGTATGAGGTGTAGTAAATTTATTGTAAAATTATATGGTTTGATTTATTTGACAGTTTAAGATTTTGTTTTTATTCTGATTTGACTATCCAGAACGTCTATGACGTTGATTGGTAGATGTGTCAGGACCGACCTAGCTTAAGCTATAAAATTGAAGAAAATAAATAAAATCAAATTGTTTATAAAATTTAAATCGATTTATTACTAATATTTTTGATATTAAGATTTAATGAAGACGTTTGCGACCTTCAAATAAGGAAATATTATTTACTATTTAAGGGACTGGTTGTCGGATGTTCTTAACTCCGGCTGAGGATGAAGGACGTGTTGAAAAGGACGTGCATAGATTTGGAAAACTGTTGTTTTCATTTTTTTCTGATTTCTGGTATTTGCTTTTGCGAAACAAGTTGGGAGCAGCTGCGGCTGTTACCTCCCTATGGAAAGGTATAAGCAGCGATTAGCGGTTTGGTAGGGAGGTGGGTAAGTTTCTTTTTGGGCTGCATAACGAACATATTGAAAGATAAGTAGGAGGTTTTTAGAACGTTTTGAGCTCAGATGTTTTTGCCAAAAATGGTTTTTAATTTTTATATTTACCCAATCCATATACCACCCCCAACTCATATTTTTCATCCCTATTTTGAGTTATAATACTTTTCTCGATAAATATCTTGTATTGATTTACAATTATAAGTTTATTAGGGATAATAAAACGGAACAGTTTAAATGTTTTATTTGAGTTAAACAACAAAAGAATGAAAAAAATCTAATCTGTAGTACAATAGCATAAAAAAAAAATAAAAAATTTGGATTGCCATTAAAAAAATGAAAGTTTCTACAAGTTCGCGTAAAAGTCCCTATAGTATTGTGGCATTACCGCTACATTTTTTTTCTTTTCAAAAAGATAGGTAGAGCAAGAAAGTTTTTTTTTTTTTTCATTTATTCCTACATTTTTCTTATACGCTCGTTTTAGAGTAACGTCACGTGCTGATGGAGTTTGTTTTGAAGAACATTTAAGGTATTAAATTCTTGTTGTTTTTATAACATTTTATATAGCAAGTGACTAGGATTTTATTTATTAACTTTTAAAACGCATATTCCTGAGAGAGGGATTGAACCACCTTCTTCCGTCTTAAAAGAATCCTTCGTCCCCATAAGTCGTAGTTGTTTCAAATCAAAAACTTCTCATAGCCCCTTTTATAAATTGGAGAACATATAATGAAACGTTCTATAAGAGAATGAACGTGGTGTCCCTCATTCTGAGTGTAACCACTAATTAAAAATTTATGGGTGATGGACCTAATATTTTCCAGAACAGAAACGGATGTATAAAGGAAACACGAAGCGATTCCCCACATATGTGCCACATAAATCACATTGCTTCCGTACTTTTAACCTCATACAGTGTTAAATTATAAACTTAGTTTTGATACATACTAAAAAGAAGATGAGTCCCCTTGTGAGCATTGCAATGCTGTCTGCATATCATAAACGGCAACAATTTTATCTGGAGAATGTTTAGCCATGTCCTCTTTTCTTGCCAGCTCTTTGTCTTCAATATGGTTGTTGTACTGTTCCTGAAGTTCTTGTTTTTCTACCTCAGAGGTATTAGTAAAACCTTGGCAAAAATCACACTTGTCTTTTTTTGGAATAAAAACAGATAAATTAAACTCTCCCTTTAATATATTGGAGTATGTACATCAAATAGTTTACGCTAGATTTCTCGAGTTCTTTGCAACGCTGTTCATAATCTCTGTGTAGACCGGCAATAGGTTTTCCTTCTTCAATGTATTCTTTTTTTTTATTGAGATCGGCAGTAGTGGCTCTCCATTCGAGGAATAGATCGAATATGATTACGCACTTTTTCGTGTCTGCCTCAATTTTCTGCCTGTATTATTCTATTTGCTTCGTTATTTTGTTTGCGTAAAACTGTCTCAAAAAAAATGCGTAATTAAGACCACGTATTTTTTCACAAGTTGAATACCGGTAACTTAGTTTTATGCTTGTAGTATAAGATGCAATTTATATTCTTTGTTTTTGAAGATCAGCCATACTCCAGTAATCGTCGAAAATCTTCTGTCTTTATTCATCTGATAACTTAAGCGAACATTTATAACATTTATCACCATTGCAAGGAGGTCGCATTATTCTAGGTTTACGCGTGACTAATAGTCGATCTTTGGTTCCATCTTCTTTTTCGTGATTTTTATCGAAGCATAACTTTGACCACTATTCCTTTTCATCTTAGCAACATTTTTTTGCCACTGATATATTTTTTTTCTCGTTTTTAACAGAGCGTCTTTTGTTGCTTGAATTTTGGCTCACATTATTAGACTTCACATTTATAGGAGGCCTTCATCAGAAGAAACATCAGAGGATGATGAAAAACTATTGAAAGAATAATTTGGGTCGCCCGAGATGTTATCAGAGACTGAACTACTAGAGGAACTGGTTGAAATGGAAGACGAAGAGCTGCTACTGTTCTTTTCACGCTCACTATTGATTGGAACGTCATCATTTATAATTTTTGGTCCTATCTCATCTTCAGTACCTGTTGTTTTGTCGATAGTTGGATTTTTTGGTTTTCAAAATCAACAGCCATATGAAGATATTGTCGGTATTGTTTTTCAGCTAAAGGAGAAGCAATTTTTGGGCTATCACTTATAACAGTAGTAAACTTGTTGGTGACAGAATCAATGACTGGGGGAATATTATTATTTTCATTTTCATTAGTCATAAATGATTGCTGAGAATACAAACCCCTACTTTTATGCCTGGTATTATCTTCCTTTGTTCCACAAATCTTTCTTGCGAGGTCTACTAGAATACGACTTCGATATACCAGAACAAAATATTAGCCTAAAGTTACATAAAAAATTGTGAAATCAGCGCACATAATGTTTATTAACTTTTATCTGCATACCTTATTGAAATTTAAACCACCAAATATTTGCTACATGTTGCATAGTGGTCCACAAAATGAAATAAAGAAATTTTTATCAAGTTATACCTACGCAAGAGGTTTGTATTACTTATTCTCTATGTTCTATAGCAATAATAGCAATAGAGTTGCTATCAACAAGTCATCGTATACACTTTGTCTCAGGACCAAGCAACCTCATGTAGAGTCGTATGTTGCCATGTTATCAATTCCACTGGTAACTTCAACATCTCAACTTTTAAGAACATATAATGTAACAGAAATTTAAACTGACAACATTTAACGGGTTTTTACCCAAATATTTTAGTGGCTCAAAACATGTATACCTACTTAATTACACTGATGATGCAATACAGATTCCATAAACGTTTTGTAATTGTAATATAGCCCGTTTGGATATTTTATTATATACCTTTTATAAAGGATTTTAAATAAAAAAACATTTTTGTGACATATGGTATACAGTCAGCTACAGAAACTTAGTTTCCTAGTGGGTTTTATTTTATATAATTTGTCATTGTTGCTAGACGAGGCTTTCAAATTATCGTTGACGAGAAAATATGCGCGCAGTTTATCAAAACGATTACGTGACATGATATCAGCTATCGTATTATAATCGCGTTTCTTCTGCCCAATATATTCTATACGAAGAAACACGAACAATTCCACTCAATACATGTATGCCTAAGAACTGCTCTATCTCAGCTGCATTTGTATCAATATTTTTACTGTCTTTTTGCGCAGAATACAAGTTTGATTGCTCAGCAAAATTTTGAATAATATCATTGTCACAAAACATTTTAAAATACTGGAAAGGCGTATAAATGTTTTCATCAACCGAAAAATCACCACTGTATTCATTGTTTACATCAATTAAACTGTTGTCTGTCCAAGTTGGTTTTTCTATTTTTTTTTCTTGGCATGACTTGTCTGTGGCTCTTCTGTAATTTCGTCAACAGTTTTCTCTTCCATATTCTCGTAAGTTGGGTGTTCAAGCTATCTTCAACAAATTTTCAAATAATTCTTCTATTTGAGTTATAAAATTTCGCCTAAATATTTCGCGTTGGTATCATGTGACCTCACGAGCTATGACGCGTATGACGTGCAACGGTAAGTAAATTGGATGAAGTATAGGTCTGTCTAATTACAAAGTATTTGTAAACTTTCTTCCTTCAACAATTTTTTTCTATAGCCTGTTATACCGATCCTGTTTATCTGATCAATTATAAAGTAAAACTGATAATGTGGTATTAGAACATAAAATAAATAAGCAATTTTCTATATTTTATAGAAAAATTTAACAAAATAAGGCTTACAAATAAAAGATATATATTAAAATAATCAAATCACAATTCATAAAAAGAAACCATAATGCATATGTTGGGATGCTATTAGTTCAGTCTTGCTAAACGCAGTTCAGAAAACAATTTTCTAAATTTGTTTGAAGGTCTGCCAAATGTTGAGTGGTATTAAATATACAGACATATGGAATATTATATAGATACACAGTCCAAATCTAAAACAAACAAAACAAAATAAGTAGCTCCTACATATAAATCGAATTATGGTAAATGTGTATCTTAAACGTACTCATATTCGTAACTGTTACAGATATCTTAAAGTAAATACTATTTTATATCAGATTTAACCACAATTTATTGTAATGATAATTACATTTTACATTTGTTTTGACGTTTCGATTTCCAATTTGAATTAAGTAAGTATTCTGTTTTGATTACATTTATTTTCATTCCAGCTTATTCGTATTCATCTTTAAGTTTCCTTAGCATGTAATTGATAACTTTTACTTGATCAGCAACGGAGAATAATATCGCTATAGAGCTATCTCGTCGATTTTGATTCCTATACCTGAATATTTCTGTCACCATTTCTGTAATGCCCCTTGAACATAAATTTTAAATAAAGTAAGGGACAAGCAAAATCCATTTTTAAGGCCCATTGCTACGTCGAAATTGTTCTTAAAAGAATTTTTCGTCTTTAAAACACTCAGTTGATTCTTATGGATGTTGTGTAGAGCTCTTATATACTTTTCTATACGTCCGTCCAAATTTTAAATAGAGATTTTAAATGTACTGTGTCGTAGGCCTTTTCGATATCTATGAAGACAAGATGGGTAGCGAGATTTCTGGCAACGCGTTTTTAAAAACTTAGCCATGCATTTCCACCGAGCTGGTGATGCTAATATCTCTATAATTATCGCATACTTTTCTGCTCCGATGGAGCTTATATATACTAAATTCCAATCTGTTGGAATATTTTGCCTTTGGTTAAATTTTTAGCTCCAGGCCCTGGAATTTTACCGTCGTTCATTTCTCTTAATTATTTTTTAATTTCATTTTTACTTATTAACTGTACCTCCTCTTGGTTATTATTGTTAACTTCGTTGTTAAGTTGCTTGTAATGAATTTCTCACTTCTTGTTCTGGATTGGCTCTATATTTCCCATTTCCTTCCTTTCTTTTCGTACATTTTTATTAAATTTTCAGGCTTGAGTTACTCTACTGCCTGTTAGGTATTTCTCTACATTTTTACATTCTCGTTCCCACATTTCGTTTTTCTTTTGTATCTATCATTTTTTGGTTTTTCTGTTAAGTGGTACATAAGGTTTTCTGTCTTCTGGATCTTTTGTTCTTAGCCAAGTTTTATACGCCTTTTCTTTCGATTTGCTGTTTCTTTGCATTCGGGATTTTTTTCTTTGCTTTTGTCCAAATTTCCCAAATGTCCCTTGCTGTTGGTGTATGCTTTCATTCACGAACTGGTGCCTCTCTGCTGTTTCTACTTCATCTACAGTTCTTAGCTTTGAAGTCATTCTTATCTTGTAGAGCAACTGTGTAGATTTATCTCATAAGCTATCAATATTATATTTTATTGTTTTAAGTTTGGATTCAGCGCTATTTTCGTTCTCGGTTTGTGTGATATTCTTCTTATAGTTAATAGTAACTTTAACTACCAACATTTAATGGTCATACCACACTTCTGAACTATGATAGATCTTTACATCATTTGTTTTTTGTGACTGGATCAGATAGCAAATAATTTATTGCAGTTTCGTCTTTGTCTGTATTCTTGTAAATTTATGGATTTCTTTGCGCTGAAAAATCCATTCATAACCTTTAAGTCTAAGCTCTGGCATATGTCTGAGAGTCGTTTATCATTGTTGTTTACTCTTTCTTCTCAATATTTCTTCCATACGGGATCGCTTTCTTTTCTTACGACTCTGGCGTTAAAGTCTCCTAATATGTAGATTTCTTTGTTCCGATTTATATTTAGGTATAAGAAAGTCTCTTACTTTTTCGTAAAATTTCATCTTTTGTGTGTGCATTAGCGTCTTCATTGGGTGCATACGCTCCTCTAACACAACTGTTTGCCTATTTCTGTGTATGTCCATTGTTATTATCTGCTCGTCTACCTCATCCCAGCTTTTAATGTTTTTTCTGAGTCTATTGTGTACAGAAATGTAAACTTCTCTTTTTGCTCACATCTTTTTCAACGCCGATGTATAGCTGCATGTGCTCACAAATTTTCTCACTCCCTTTTCCTTTCTTTTTAGTTGGTATGAGTTTATATAATCTAATGTGTCATTTCAGTTCTTGGAAGACCTCTACTTGGTCCAAAAATCTTGAAATATTCCATGTGGTCAGTCTCATCGTCTTTTTTCGTAACATTCGTCATCTTTTATTTTCATTCAGTTTTCGAGGTTCTTGATGATAGAAACTTTTAGCACGCTGCTTTTTCTGAAAGATAAGTTGCTATTATAGCATTTTGTTTCAATCCTACTTCTTTACTCGGGCTTGGAATCGGCAACAGCTCGCTAAGTTGCTCAGTTCATTCAATGAACTGAAGGTGAAGGTTTTCTCCTATCGGAATTAGAAGGAATGCTCTTTTATTACATTCGCTTAGCAAATTCCCAACTGTAAACAAACGCAAGTATTGATATTCGCCCTCTCATTCGTCAAGAGGCTATTAAATATAATTTATTGCCTTAAGCCAGACGGATTCTCATTTTTCAGGTCCAAACTTGCCGGTCTGTTTAAATTCAAATTGTATTTTTAGCGTGTTGGTTTTTAAGTTAATATATTGTGTGTTATACAGTGTAGGAAAAATTTTATGGTCGGTATGGACCTTACGTGAGATGGAGTGAGAAACAGCTGTTTAAAAAGAGAGAGGTATATTAGGTACGCCCTTTATATCGCCGAATGGAAATATTAAAAAAGGGGAAATTCAACGTTGCCAAACTTATTGGTTTTATTTGACCTGTTGTCTTTTTTTGCATTTGAACAATGTTCTATCAAGAAGATAAAATGCTCAAGATAATCAAATTTGGGCGAAATTGATTTAAATGGCAGGTTACTGTTTTTTTTATTGGGAATATGCCACAAGTTTTCTTTACAATAATTGTAATATAACATTTTGATTTCCATTTCGGAAATCGTTTTATATAAATAAAATTTATTAATGTTTCGTATTTTAAGTACGATTTCCGAACTAAAAATCTAAACATCAAAATAATTTCCCAATATGAAATAATAAACAATTAAACATGCATACAATAACGCCAAATTAAAAAATATTCATACACTAATTTATTTGGCAACGTCTAGTCTAGATAGTCGTCTGGTCAAAAGATCGAGTAACGAGAAGTAGAGGTGGGTCGTGCTAGTTTATCATTAAGAGCGTAGGAGCAAAATTTCTGTTAAAATGTTATTTCTTTAAACGGCCGTAAAATTTGGGAAAGTTGAGAACAAATAATCCAGTGTTCTTTATTTAGATTAGGTTTAAGTCTAAGTCTGTATTATTTAATACCAATGTGGAACGGGTTGCCTCTTCTAACTCGGTCATTCTTTTTAACATGTAATAGGTGAAGTTCTACCTAGTTTCCACGTCTTGGATTGGCCGTTTGGGAACTGTGTTCTGTTGTAATTAATACTTTAAAAGCCTTTCTGAAGATAAGGTACTTTTTTGAAATGTGTTTTTTTGCAGAATTGTCGAAAAAAGGACTTTTTATTTTATCTATTTGTACACGACAGCATTTAAGTGCGTCCCCCACCAATAAATTTAATCATCATCATAAATCACAATCATCATAAAACAAAACATATTTAATAGCTTTGACCATATTTTAGGAATTATCAGTTACTGCAAAATTTACTTTTCGTTTTAGACCCGACTGATTAATAATTTCAGTAATCGCTGTTTTCTGGATTATGGTTTCCAGAAAAATGGCAGCAGCCTAATAAAAAAGTTTTGAATACTAAATTTTCGGTTAAATATTGTCCTGTTAATGCGAAGTAACTCTCAGTTACTCCAGATGTCCAGAGGTCAGTAGTAATACAGATATTTTCTACTTCTTTAACAACTTGCGATCTAATAATTTGCTCACTTTTGACATAACATTCCTGAAGTAATGAACCTGACAAAGTTTTTCTTGTTGGCGGTTTATATCCAGGAATCCACCCTGCAAACTTTTTAAAAGCTGGTTCTTTAACTATGGAAAACGGATGAAACGAAAAGTTTAGTAAATCTTGAAAATCAATCAGTCCAAGAAAAAGAAACTGATAAAGATGACTTAAGTCCATGGTGTATTTTTGATGAATTAATTGGACATGACTCATCTAAACATACACCTGTATCGAGAGGTATAAAAGAAGTCGACATGTAATTGTCTGATGATATATTACCCACAAACAATTTCGAACGGAGATTGGAACTGTCCATTACCGTGGTGAAAAAACCATCGCCATGTATATCGTAACTTAACCACTATATTCATAAAATGTTGTAGTATTGTAACAAAATCTTTTCCTTGTGAACACATGTTTAACATCTGGTATAATTTTAAATAAAAGAAGAACGCGATTAACAAGAAAAGTGGAAAAACTTATGTTTTTAAATGTCAATTTAGACGATTCGCGATTTAATAATGTGTAATGTAAATGTAACTATTTAAGTACCATTTGTATTATTTAATTTATTTTTCAAGTTACAATAAATATATCCTTCGTTAGGTTCTTTTATTTCAATACTTATACACATAAACGATAATAGCTAATATGTTTGTGTACTCGCTAATTTGAATACTGGTAAACAATCAACTAGTTACAGTTTACGAAAAACGGTTCCGATAAAAAATTAAAAAACGAGAAGACCCACCTCTAGTTTTTTAGGTATATTAGGATCGGAACCAGAGAATATCTGATCGGAACTAATCGTCTCATAATGGGCAATGGCCAATGAGTGTTAAAAGGATTTTAGGAGGGGAGACGAAGGGGAAATATGATTGTTATCTTTGTCTAATTCGTTGAAAATATGATTTTATATCTGCGTTAGATATCCTGTTAAATTTTACCATACCGACCTTAAAATTTTACCTACACTGTATGTTATAGTTATTGTTAAGTTATTTACTGGTCGCGTTATTTTTTAGAGTTTAGTTTAAGTGTTTACTATTAAGTTTTATAATGTGTAGTGAACTTTTAGTATAAAAAAGTATTTGTTAATCATAAGTAAAAATAGCTTGCGGTAATCACTTTAATAAAGGTAAGAGAAAACAATATTTTAATTTATTGATGTTTCGAAAAGTTTTATTTTCCTTTTTCGTCGGTTCTTGCTGTAAATATTAAAGAACCCCTTCGATTGACATGAAATTTATCATATACATAGCTAAATTATCTTGCAGGTAAATGTTTATGTGCTTTTTCACTTCAAGTGAATTTTAAAATAATAAAATTTTCAGGAAAAGGAGAAAGACTAATAATCTGTCACATTGGCAGTGAAGATGGGTTTGTTCCAGAAGGGCTGTGGGTGCTCGAATAAAAAAAAGTGGGAACTACCATAAAGAGATGGACAGGAAATCTTTCGAAAATTGGTTAAAAAATATACTGTCCCGATTAGAAGACAACGTATTGAACAACGCGTCATATCATTCCAGAAAATTGGAAAAAATTCCAACTACTGCTTCTTGAAAAGCTGACATCCAAGCGTGGCTGAAATAAAAAATATAGGATTTGAGGACTTCATGTTAAAAGTGCAACTGCTGGCTATCGTTAAGGAACATAAGGGACAATGTAATCAATTTATCATTGATGAGATGGCAAAAAGCCAAAACAAAGTAGTGTTAAGGCTGCCTCCATACCATTGTGAGCTCAATCCGATTGAGCTCATCTGGGCAGAAGTAAAAATTATGTAGCAGCGAAAAACCTACTTTTAAATTTGCAGATATGAAAAATATTTTTTATGATGCAATAAAAAATATTAGTCCAACTACGTGGCAGAAATGTGTGCAACAAGTTCAACAAAAAGTCGAGTCCAAAATGTGGAAGTTGGAAAATATAATCGGGAACCATATCGAACCCATAATAATAAATCCAGATGAAGACAGCAGAACATCTAGCTCCTCAGACTATGAGTAATTTAAATGGTATGATTAAATGCTTTGATAAACTTATGACAATGCTACTTTATTCAAAATGTTCACTTTGTTATGTACCTCTGAGTTAATGAATATTTTATTTTAGCACATTTTTCATCAGTGAAACATTAAATTTTGCTCAAAATGATTAAATTTCAGGAAATTCTTACATTAATAGTTTCAAAAGTAAATATTTTTAAAAATCTTATGATACACCTCAGTACGACCCTGTTTGGCTTTCACGTGCGTTTGTTGACAGTTGGTAATTTGTAAAATGAATGTAATTTAGTTCCGATATTCTGTGTCCTATATATAAACTGTTAGATCTCCAATAAACAAATGTATCTCAAACATTCAACTACCTTTTGTAATATGTGATCCCAACCGGCAACTTTGGAAGAGGATGGGTCTTTGCATATCAAATGTTAAAGTTTCTAATTCACGATTATCTATTGCAAATTTGATATCTTTTCTTATTTGTTCCATTAAACCTTCCGTCTCTTCAATATGTTTGGAATGTTTTAGTTTTAGATTTTCTGCCGTTTCACCTATAAGACCTTTAATTTGTGATTGGAATGTGCTACACTTCATAAAGGTGTTCTGTTCAGGTTTCTGGAAACGCAGATTAAATTTAGAATAAAAACATTTTTTGTAAGTGGAAAAGCTAACTAGGTTATCCCGTAACCGTCTTCTATACTGTTCTCATACAAATTGTACATTTTGTGTACGTTCAGATTAGCGTCTAGAAAATGCGATTATTTATCAAGCCTACGGTAATGCGACATATACAGAGGAAAAGCTTAATATGATTGATGGATTTCGTTATTCTTTCATCAGGAAGTTTATTTAATTCCCCACTTTTTGATAATCGTAAGTATTATTAACCGGAATATAACGACGGTCCTCCAATCTGTTGTTTAGCATATGGCGCCAATGTGGGTTGATACAGGATGTTAAATGTTGATTGTAAAATTGATGGTTAAACGTTTTTTGCGTAATTGCAAGTTGAATATTCACAGAATGTGGGTTAACATTTCATTTGTATTACTCTTTTAAATACCGATGTGACTTTTGCAATCATTTTTGCATAATTTAATAACAATATAATTTACCATGTGATTAGGATAACTCAATTTTTAATATTTTGTGGTTTAACTCCTTTTTGCTTAACACCATCCATATATGAGTAAATGGTTATAATAGATAACGATATACTTACAATTACCTTAAACCAATCAATACAGGATATTCGTTCAAGTTTGGTACAGCAAATATTCTTTCAAAAATTTTGGAAGAGGCAAGGAAAGAACAGCCTTTTTTGAAATGTGATGTAAAATAGCATCCCTGCAAGCAGATTGAAGTGAAGGAACTGGAAAATAAAATACAATAAAAAATTCAAAATTCTATCAAAAATATCAGAAATATATTAAAACAAGTAATGAAAAACTTGCTGATTCGAGTCCATACTCTACATGTTGGCAAATACGTTGTGAGTATTTGCAATCAACAAAACTAATTTGTTGCTGGTAAAATGGAGTGAAAAAGGTTTCGATCTTTACAATATTAAACCCATTATCTGGTCCAGTAACAGAATACAGGATAGCAGTACAAGACCATATGTATTTTAAGATTGTTTAGGGAAAACAGCAATCTTCCAGAAAAAAAGGATTGTTGTTTTCCCTCAAAAAAATAAAAACTTAATGTTCTTGTACTGATATTGGTGTTACAAAGTCTCATGAATCTGACTTACTCATTTGGTGACGTCAATCTATGAACGAAACTATGAAATCCGACATTAATGAAAACATTTAATTCTTTTGCATGAGTAAAAAATCTTATAAAATAAATCTAACAATGGCCAATTTTGACTCTTATGAGGTTTCGACATTTATCCGTCGATATTCTGATTTGATTTGAAAAAATTCTGTACAATTTATTACTAATATAATGACGTAGAAGAAAATTATTCTAAATGGCCACCATTTAGTTGAATACAGCTCCGAACTCTGTTAGGCCATTCATCAATTGTTGTACGGACAACATCCATTGGAAAATTGTGCACAGCTTCTACCAGCTCCTACTCCAATGGCTCCAGATTATGGTTACGCCTTGTACAAAAACTGACCATCACTTGTAGTCGAGTGTATTAAGGTCTGGGCTGGCTAGTGGCCAATGGTCACTACTAATAAATTCGGGTACATGATTTTAAAACTACTGTTAAAGTAGCTTTGGTTGTATGCGCAGGTAGAGAGTCCTGTTAGAATATCCTTGGACTATTTTGGAACATAGTAGCGATTAGGGACTCCACATTTGTTAAAATACCTCACTGATAATTTCCCGCCGCTGTCTTAATGTCTTTTTCCCAATGTAAAGAAGTGGCGCCGTCATAGGACACTCCCCACCAAACCACTGAACCACTCACTGAAACAGAATAATGACATCGTTTGATCCTTGGCACCAGTTCCCGGGCTTATTAAGATAACCGTGCATAAACTCTATGGTTTGGCTTATTGAAAGTTTCCTACAAAGTAAAATGTTTTTCATCTGTAATGAATATTGTAATGATCTTTATCGTACGACAACAGTAAGTTTTAATGCAACGGTAAGGTGTTGCTCTACTTGTCGTTTGAAAGTCCCAAGTCTTGTTTGATAATGAGACTAATGGTTCTAGGCACACTATCCATTTTCCGAGGCATGATTTCGGTTCAATATTGACCCCCTAACAGAGTTAATAATATGTGGTGTACGAGCCACTTGAGGACGGCTGGATCTTTTACGGTTCACTTACTACATCCATAGCCAAAAACAACTTAACAGTACTATACACAAAATCACGTGTAAGTAATATTTAACGGTTTTTGTAATTACAAAACACAAGCTCTTTTTATTCCGCACTTATGAAGAACAATGACACCAACACGGTTCTCTTTGTTATCTCGACTGGAATGTTTTGAGTGTTTATAGTGTATTAGTCAACTGTTGAAAATTTTCAACTTTTGGCTGCGTTCAGTTTATCAGATGTACAAGCCACATTACAATATAAAGGGTGGTCCTTAAGTAATTGTACATCCGCAGATTCTACACTCTGAAATATTACGATTGAAGTCAAATTGCTTTAATAAAATGTTGATACATATTAAGAAAGATACAGGGTGTTAAAGTGGTAATTTAAAATTGTATTTTTCGCTATAACTTTTATGTTTGTGAACATTTATGTATAAAAATTTACATGAAAAACATGAAATTATAGCGAAAAATAAACTTTTAAATTTCCACTTTAACACCCTGCATCTTTCTTAATATCAACATTTTATTAAAGCAATTTGGCTTAAATCGTAATATTTTAAAATGTAGAAACTACAGTTTTTTTGTACAATTACTTAAGGACTACCCTGTATATGGCAGGAATAGTTAGAAAAATGTATTCAACATCCATTAGTGGTCAGCCATAAGTAAGCAATTAAGCAACCTTAGTATCTCCATGTATTTATTGAATTATTATACAGTTCCCTGTATTTATTCTTCTATGCATTAATTAAAAATTACACTTGCACAATGCACTACACCTACACAAATAATTACACTTTACAATATATATGGTCCAAAATACCAAGAAAGATAAAAATAATGTAACACTTGAAAAAAATATAATAATTATCCAGACACTTCTGCAAATCTTGAGTTTGATAACTTCTTAAAAAGCAAACATTTTAATGCTCTGTAAAAATTGCAGAAGACAAATTTGACCCACACATAGTATTATCTAATATTAGAATTTTTATTTTTGGTACAAACCTTCATACAACTGAATGATCCTAACTTTTTTTGTAACACCATATACATCAACTACAACATGTAAAGGTGCTTCTGTATAGGGAATTTTTTTAACACAGGCTCCTTGATCTTCCCCGTTGATAATATAATGCATATCTGCTTCAAATTCATCTGTAGGTATGTACATCACACCAATCCTACTACTTTTGTCTGTAGGAAGAATTGGTCCTGGTATACTAGGTTTTAACAAACTCACAGGTACTGAACCTCTACATGTCTTGATAAAGTTATGATTGCTATTTTCCTTTTTTGTACCAGCTGGAATGCATTTCCAGCCATTTCCTTCACCATATTCAAAAATACTGTTTTGTGCTTTACTGATTCCATATATCCAAGATTTTGCTACATCCAAAAGATCTGGCAATGCATACATTGGAATAGAATCTAAAAAGAAAAAATATATAGTATACAGGTAAATATAACAACATAATCATAATTAATAATAAAATATTGCTTTTTATTCTTCAGAAACCACAGCAATTGCACCCTGGATATATATTTTCAGGATGTTCCCCAAAATATATATTTTTACTTATTTTCATTTAAACTTCTTGATGATAAATCTTTAACAATACTATATATAAAATTTTCAATAATATCTATGACACAGGCAATATTCCACAAGATTGACTATACCACAGTACCAAAATTGTAGCAAGGGACTCATATTTCAATGTAGACCTTAGTGAGCTTGAGGGGAAAAGAAATCGACAAGTCATAGGTGTGTGGTTATTATTTAAAAAAATAATTAGGATTTTAGAATAAATTGATTATCATAAAAATTATTTTCGTATTTTACAGATGTCTTAGGTGAATAATCCTTGGTTAAATATCTTATACCTATCTATAAATCTGGCATTCGCGAGTGTGTTAACAATTATAGAGGTATAACTATTCAATCAGCACTCCCGAAACTTCTTGATAAATTGGTATCAATAAATCTCACCTGAGCTTGCAGAAACATAATTATTGATGAACAACATGGTTTTTTCTAATGGGAAATCAACTGTAACAAACCTTGTCAATTACCAACAATACTTGTTGGGTGCATTTGAGAATAAAATTCAGGTTGACAGCGTTTACACTGATTTCTCAAAGGCCTTTGACCAGCTTAATCATAATCTTTTGATTCACAAACTTCATGCATCTGGCTTTGGTGACCCCATTGTTATTTGGATTAAAAGTTTTCTGATGGGATGTACACAGCAAGTTCGTATTAACAATTATATTTCAAAAGAATTTCATTGTTATTCTGGTGTACCACAAGGGTCTCATTGTGATCCCTTGTTTTATAACTTGTTCATTAATGATATTGGTAAGGCTATCAAAAACTCACACTGCTATTTACTGATAATCTTAAGATATTTCATTGTATACATAATAAATCGGATAGAGATCTCCTACAAGATGATGTAAACAACATATGTTTATGGTCAAAACAGAATGGTTTAAGCTTAAATCCAACTAGACTAGACCAGATAATGGCTTATAAATACCTAAGCCATGTGATTTCCATAGGCAAAAATAACCAAAATGTTGATCTTCTCTGTAGAATAAGACTGATCTGTTAATTATTAGTTAGTTAAACTACATTTTCAAGTCGTCTGACATACCAATATCGATACATTTTTGGCAAAGTAACGTAAGTGACATTTTTGGCAAAAATCATGTTTTTCAATTAAACTAACACTATTATTGTTAAAAAGGTACTGCCAAAGTGTAGTAAGCCTAGAATTACTTTAAACCTTTTTTAGGACAAGTAGGACAAGTTTTTTCAGTCATAATTTAAATAAGTTTAACCAGGTTGAATTAAAAAATTGTTTTTTCTAAAAATCCTGTTTGGTGACTTACATTACTTTGCCAAAAGTGTATCGATATGTCTTAAAAAAATAACCTTTAATCAGGGTTTTGCAGTGTTGACCTACGGAGTGAAAACATTGCCTATGACAAGAAGAGTGAAAAAGATGTGTGTGGCTCAAATGGTGATGGAGCTTGCTATGTTGGGTATTTTAATATGAGACAAGATTAGGAATGGCTGATGCTATAGAGAGAATAGCAACACTGAAGTGGCACTGGGCAGGTCACATGGCTCAAATGACATACAACAGATGGAGAAAGCGGAGACTGGAATGGAGACAAAGAGATGATGCCTACCAAAGTAGAGGTCACCCATTATCATGTTGGACTGACGATACAAAACGTTGCTATCAGAATTGGATGCAAGAGGCACAAAATCGAAACAGATGGAAAATTATGAGGGAGATCTATGCCCAGCAGTGGACAAGCGAAGATTGAATGATGATGAGGGCTATATTATAAAAACAGTATATTACCAACAAGGTAATTAAAGATGGCAAGACCTAGAAAACCATAAAAGATAGTGTTAATCAGGATTTAGTTATACACTAAATAGTAATAACAAACTAACAACTATACTACTATAACAACTAAATAATCTGTTACACCTATGTAAAATTTTTATAATAAAACATGGTTAACTAGTTAAGTGTTTCTAAACCTAGGGAACGCACCCCCTGAGTAGGTGTGAGAGAATTTTAGGGGAGGCGCAAGGCATGATTAAAATCGTTTTACTTAAACACACAACCTGAGTTAAACATGACACTCTTGTGTATGATAACATCATAGAAGCGCAAAGTATATTTACCAACACTGTATTGCAAGCACTCCTGGCTCCAGTTCAGTGACTCCGTCTTATGCATCTTTTGGTTAACTTACTTTCCTGTTTACCCAGAAGTGGCTTTAGTATCTGTGAAGTTATTAGTACAGTTTTCATCCACATATCTTTGTGAATCTGGTTTTTTTGCATTGGCGTATATAAAATCAATATATTATTCAATGCTGGACATTGACAGTGACTTGAGATGTGCTCTGACACAGTTTCAACCGAATATTGAAAAACTTGTTTGTCTGTTCTGTCAAGAACAGACAATGCCAACCCTCTCATTGAAAGTGCAAAAAGACTTTCAACTTTATGTGCGTATTTGATTTTTTGATTATTCTTTTTCTCAAATAAATAAACAATGTTAAGTTTAATGAGACATCAAATAAACTTTCGTATTTAAATATATCTGGATATTTATTTTGCATCCCAGCTTTTGCTAAAGTAGAGTTAGCAACCTCAGTTTCACAATTTCACTGTTCTAACTTGAACCAACCAATTATTGACTGGAGGGAAGGCGTGAGCTATCTTCGGTTTTCAAAGGGGGCGCCAGTGCTAAAAGGTTGAGAACCGCAGAACTAGTAGAACAATTTTATAAATGACAAATTAAGTTTTCACAAAGCACAAAATATCAGATGTCGGGCATGTTCTATTTAAATAAAAAAAATATGGTTATTTAGAAGCAAAATTAATTTTATAGACCCACTTACCCGGTTTTAACATTGTCAAAGGATCTAGTTGAGTTAGTCCTAATCGCATATGCCCACTCCATCCTGTTTCATTTTGTTCTATTTCCAGCAGAAAAATTTCACCGGGAGCTAGAGGTTTTTCACTAAAAGTTACTGCATTGGCGAAACTTTTTGTTCTATATGCTACTGTGTTATTTTCAGTTAATATTATATTTTCACCATGATAAGGATGAAATCGTGTGTTTATAGTATTTATCATTGGCTGAACCATTTTATACTCTTACGATAATTATTTTTACTAGTATATTCTAGACCATAAATTTTGTTTTGTTAATGCATAAATATAAATATAATTGTTTACCAGTTTTCATAAAAGTGCATTTTTTGTGTGTGTGGTGACATACTTCTATGTCTATGTCTACTGTCACCCAACTGATACTGACACTGACAATGACAGTGACAATTCTGATTTGACACAAATATCATACTTTGTTATTATTAAAAAATCTCTTTGTTTTTTATTTTGTTCTAGATTATTTCACTATCAAAAGGTAGCTATTGCAGAAACTGTCTCATTATTTAAGTCCAAATAAAAATGAACTATTTATTTCATATTTATAAAAATATGAAACAATTCAGAACCATAATATAAATATAATCAAATATTATTAAGTTTCCTGAAAATTGGACAAACATTTTAAATGTTTAAAAATATCTTGTTAGTTATTTTGATTTCAGGCAAGTCATTTATATAGAGAATTGCTATAGACGGACTTTGTACCAGCCATTGAATTTTTATAAGTTTTTTCGATTGGGAACGCCTGCATTTATATCCAAATGATGTAAATACATTTTTATACTAATTCTGTTGCAACATAATGAGGTATAATTCCGTTGTTATTGCGTCATATAGTTGGTGTCTATTCTGTGCTGTAAATGGTACTGAAAGTATTTGCTAAAAAGTGCTTAATTACGTGGCCTCTGGCTTGCTGACGTTTATTTTGACAGTGACATTATGACGTTTACCTTTTATTTCTAAACATTTGTCGTGTCTGGTCGTGTTCATTTGAAAACATGGCCAATCTCCTTAACAGTATTGTTGCTCAAGCTTCTGAAAATTTAACAGAAAATGCCAAAAACGCTACTCAAAAGACTCCTAGTACACCAGAAGGAACGGCCGTTGCATATATTAGTTTAGTTGTAATGGCTTTATTTCCAATATTTTTTGGTTCTTTTAGATCTGTGTCCTACCATAAGGATAATGTAAGTAACTATCAGATTTTGTTTAATATAACTGGAATGTAATATTTTTGATGTGTGGTTGTTACCAGATTGGTGTATTCAAACAAAAACTTTAGTATTAACCAATTTATTTACTATGTACTATTGTCAGGAATTGTTTAAAGCTATCATTTCAACTATTTTCATTATCTATCATTTTGTTGACTGTCTCTGCCTTATAAACAAGTCTTCTGCACTTATATTATATCTTATGTTTTTATATTGTTATATTTTTTTATGTTTTATTTTTTGTATTTAATCCACCTGGTGGATTGAATACAAAAATGATAATTGTGATAATTGTATGCACTTAATATGTTACATGACACCTAATTTTATTTTCAATTTATTGTGCCCTGTTTCTAATTGAGTAAAATCATGTTTGTATGTATGCACTTACAGAATCTTTGTAGGCAGCAGTTATTACTGCATATGCTCAAAATGTTAATTCAATAGTATTTTAATTGGGATATTCATATAATTTAAAGCAAATGATAATTTTGCAGATAAATATTTACATTAATATTATATTTATTTTCAGAAAGTAGAAAAAATGACCAAAAGAGATGCAGCAATATTTCCAATTGTAGCCTCATGTTCCCTTTTTGGACTCTACATAGTATTTAAATTATTTTCAAAAGAATATATAAATCTTTTGTTAACAGGATATTTCTTTTTCTTGGGTGTCTTAGCTCTAACTCATTTATTAAGGTAATGTAACAATAAATTAAAATATATTCAGGTGATATTGATTGACCATGTTACTTAATGTTTGGTGTATTGGCAGATTCAGTAAATTTGAATATCTTTTTATTTTTATTCAGATTTGTGCTTAGTTCTGCCAATCTGGAACATTTGTATTTCCAAATTTTTGGTCTTCTGTTCACTCTAACTGAATTGTTATGAAAATACCTTTACTTACTCTGTATTCTAAATTTCATTTTCATAAATTGCTCCATATTGCAATAGTTACTGATATAGTAGGTTCACTCAGCTAAACTGCTCTAATTGAAAATAACTACATATGAATAATTTTTTACTTTAAGAAGTTCCAATTATATTGGCTATGACTATGTTGTATGCTTAGTTGTATAGTAATTTCCAACCACTTTAGTTGAATTCAAAATTTTACCAACTTAGCTAACAATTAATTAATAAATTTACTAGACCTCTGAATGTGGGTTTAGTTATCAGAGTATACAGTAACCTTTTTGCATTTTGACCAAAGAGATCTTCATATTGAAAACATTTGGTAATCAACAGTTTTTCATAAGGTTTTTCATAATAGATGGTATAGTATATATATGAGGGGTATAGAAGCAAAATCCGCCAAGTCACATTTATCAAAATTTTCAGGAAATGTTAAAAACTATTACAGAGAACTCCTGTGATATTTTTCCTTTTCTGTTTGATTTACTTGTATTCTAGTATAATGTTTTATTAGAAGAATACAAAATAACAATATTTGAACTGCAGTTTCAGTATAAAATTGGTTGTATTTATGGACATGGCGGGATTTGCAACAACATTTAGCAACTTTGGATTGGAAACTTCACTTAATAAATTATTATAAACATTAGATTCTTATTACTTAAAACATATTTATTTGTTTATATTTATATAATCATAAATTGAAAATAATGTAAACTCTTAAATTCTTATTACTTAAAACATATTTATTTGTTTATATTTATATAATCATAAATTGAAAATAATGTAAACTCATAAAATGAACTTTTTTAACACAACAAATTTTACATCCCAGTTGTTTCTTCTGGAGAAAATTCTTCACATAACTCATTTGTCAATATTTGTGGATCACTCTAGTCATTATTTAGAGAAAAATGTATGGTATCTTTATAAAATTTCAAATTGAAATTTTCTGGCCAATCAGTTCCATAATGCATTTCTAATAGTTTGGCAACACTCTGGTCCTTCTTTTTGTCACTTACTCTGCCAGCTTTAAATTTGTCAGGATTCATCAAACGAATGTTTTACTTTCTTACAAATGTTCTTTGGAACACCAATCGAATTATTATAGTTGACATCGCCCTGAACTTCAATTGTATTATCATTTTGCTTCAAAATCCTAAAGCGTTTGCACTGTTGAAATTGAAAGTGCCAAGCTCCTGGTGGTTTAATAACTTCTGATACTGAGCTTTTTCTATCAAATGCATTCCAGTCTTCAACCAATTTATAGATTGTGGTGTTTTGCTCTATTATAGCTATGTAGTTCTCTGGATTCTTTATTATTTCTGTTTTTTAATTTTGCCTTCAAGAATACCAAAAACTTTATCTGGTGGCATAAATATGTGTCCTACAACTGGGAATATTAGTTCAATACAGTGAATATTATTTAGGCTCTTTTTTATGGAGAAAACTTGCAAGCATGCCGATCATTGTAATATTTTTATTTTGACCTGGACATCCATCTGCACAAATCAAAATTTCTTTAACATCTGTGGAAAATTTATGTTTTGATAGTCTATGAAACAGCACTGAAGCTATAACACTTGAGTTTTTTGGCAAATTTAAATCGGTCCATAGATAAGCTGAAACTGTGTCAGAAAGTTTCATATTATAAGTACCATTTACAATTGAAAAATTCTAAAGATTATATTGGGAAGAGAAGTAAGCTCTTTGATCAGGTAATTTCAGAAGAGCTAAGTTTTTTTGACAATCCATTGAAAAAACTTCTCTATCGCTGCTGTGTGTTTTAAGATTTTTGTAAAATGCTTTTGCTTTAAGTTTATGTAATTCCTGTAAAACATTAAGATATTTTTTTTGCTCCTCATCTTTTTCTTTCCTTATCTCTTCCTTATACCTTAAGCAAAGAGAGCATGCATCTGTAATAGGTGTTCCAGAACCTGTATTATAGTGTGTTGCAAAATATGAACCAAAATAATGTTCCTTAACCATAAGAGAGCTATCCACTGATGTGAAGTAAAGTTTAAAGAGCTTTCGTATAGTAAGATCACATGGTAGATTTTGTTGATTTGACTCCTACAGTAATGAGATTCCAGAGATTTAAAACTCTTAATAAAATTACTCATAGCTAACTTTTTTTGATCATTTTTTTTAGAATGCGGTCAGCCCCTCGTTTTTCTGATGGAGTTAATCCCTTAAAAAAAACCTCTTTATAACACCCTGAATTCTATCTTTTTTCACACCCAAAATTTGCATAAAGGCTCTTCTGCATACACTAATCCATTCGGCACCTTGCTTTGGTAATCTATAATTTATTGATACCTGTTTTTGAGAAATTGTGCTGCTCACTTCTCGCTCTGCTCGTCTTCTTCTTCTCTGCGGTGTCTTAGCCTCACAACATTTTAATATGAAAGCATCTTGTTTAAGTTTTGATGGAATTTCATAAAATCTTTCATGAACAAATTGCAGATCCCTCATAGTTAATAAATTGCACTTCAAGAACTTATTTTTATGAACACATCTTGGTTTTTCAGGCAAACCTTTAGCCAAATATTCAAAAACAAAAAAATTGATTAGTTTGATGTACTGAAACATTATCTAGCTCTCTATGCTTACCTATTTTTCATAGCGACTACCCTTTTGTGTTTATCACGCTGTATAATTCTTTTCCGGCTACATTCTGGTGTATAATTCTTTTCCGGCTACATTCTGGAGTCGTTTTTTCTATAGAGATACCAATATTATCGTTATCCATTACAACAAAACAAAAGGAAATTTACGTAAACCTACTTTGAATAATATCCAAACAACACTAAAAACATTACATGGTTAGAAGCTGCCACATGACATTTCGCGGAAACGGCTAAGTCACATGTCAGCCCAAAAGTTTCGCCGTTAGCAATACCGGACTTTGCTGTCTTTGCAACTAAATTTTTTTGGTCGAGGCGGGTTTTGCAGCTTAAACGTATTTTCTCGTTTAAATTACTTTGATTTAAGGTGGAATTTGCAACTAAATTATGTTTGAGCTTATGTATATACACATAAAGAACAAATTCCCATATCAAACACAGATTTCACAAAAATGTGACTTGGCAGGTTTTGCTTCTATATCTCTTATATACAAGCATATATCAGATCTTGTCTTTCTTATCACTGTTCTAACTGTCAGTATCTGTATGTACATATCTCAACATAAGGA